ATCGCGATTTTATCGACGTCAATTCATTGCAATATTATTGGATGACAAATTGAGATTTCATCGCACGATTCTGCAATAAAATTGCGATTATATCGAAGGCCACTTATCGCAATTCTATCGAACGAGAAAATCGAGATAAACTGAGATAAAATTTCGATTTCATAGAGATGAAATTGAGACAAGATAGAGGATAATCACTCGGAAGTTGACGATCCTGATGACTTCATCGCCAAAGAATCGTGAAAAAATCGCGACTCGACTTCAAACTCAAAATACCGCAATTTTTCCGTTCCGAAATGGTATTTGGGAGAAAATGGAACTAGAAGCGTCCGAGCGGGGAACTACATTGCATAAATTCTCCGTTCTTTGTAGAATTAAAAATATTCATCCATAATCCCCTTAGAAACTGTTCGAATAATTAGATATACGCGAATTTCAGCTTCAACAATACAAAAAAACTTCATTCATTTCATGATTGGCAAGATAGAAGTAATAACCATATTTTGCACACTTGCGTGGTTACGTTTTGGACACAACAGAATACGGTTAAAGAAAAGGGTCCCGCGCCGTTTTACTCAAGACAGCAGGACGTACGAATCTCTCGCGAATTAAAGTTGACTTACTGCTCTCTTGCGCGCAGGCTACGTTTTCATAACTCTCAGTTTTTACGAATATGATGAATTCTGGCGGCTACACTTTTAGCTGAATCAGCCGGTTTATTTCACGTAGATTCTTAGATGGATAATGAGGAAGATTCGCTTTCGAAAATTTGGGCGATAATACTATCTTCGGCGCACAACATAGCGGAATTATTGAGCCAATTGTAGAAACGACGTATACGCACTGCAATGGCGCTGATTGTGCAGCTGGGTGCACAAAGTTTGCATCTGGAAGAGTTAAGTGCCCCGTGGCAGAAAAATCTTTTACATGTTGGCTCATTTCCTTGCAGGAATAATTAAACTGTGTTCGCTTTACCACGGATAATATACGAAGATGCACGATTTAAGATGCGCACTGCATGGCTTCTACGTCGTTACTACAAGGATTGCCTCCATTCTAATAATATTTCATAAGATTATTTGGACTACATTTTGCAATTTGGAACTATAAATTCTAGCCCAGTTAAAAATCAACGTATGTGTCATTAATTTCCCTATGCACATAAGTGTTTTTCCAGAAGAGCCAGAATTTATAGTTCCAAATTGCAAAATGCAGTCCATCTGATCTTGCGAGGAGATGAGCTGAAGGTGTGAGATGTGATACATAGAAATTCGCCGATCCCGTGAACGCTTTGGAGGGGTGAAAGCTAGAGTGGCCTTTCGGAAATACTTAACTATTCGGAAGTGCTAAGGAAAAACGCCGTAAGAGCATTCGGCCGTTGCCAAGTTTCCTCCAATACCATGATTATTTTTTCTTATTTAATTCTCAAAATTTTTACATGATGTAGACCCCTCCCCCCTTTGCCTGGAGAATTAAAACGTATTTTTTGCGATTTTCAGGAGTGCTTGAATGTAGTACCCTCCCACCCCCATGACCACGGAGCCCGCCTCAACTGAAAATTTCTGGCTATACCACCGAAATATGAAGCACACGAGCTCACGTTTAAGACATTGGCGTATCCGGCGAAATGGCAACATCACCTTCTCTCCATTTAAACGTATGAAAATATATCGATTCTTAAAGGGGCCAGGTGCTACAACAAGAATCGATTATTTAGCATACGTTTAAATGGAGGAAATCCGGTGTTGCCAATTGCTGGATTCGCCTATGGTTTTAGAGCATTTACGTCAAGGTCACATCCATGTCATGCCGTTTTACAAATGAAGATCGATAAAATAAGCTGGTCAGCAAAAGCCTCTTGACTAACTGGATTTTACTCAATTCGTACTGTTGTCAATTGACAGCCATATCAATGAGAGTATTCCATATTCGTATCGTTACGATAGGAAAAAAGAAAAAAAAAAGAGATTAAGGAACAAACATATGCGGAGGGGGGGGGGGGGGATAAAAACTTGCATTAAAAAAATAGCTTAAAAGCAATTAATAAAAAGAAACCAATTGCTTGACAAATTAGAAATACATACTTGCACTCAGAAAACATAAAACTATCAAAGCCAACTAGCATGCTCAACTTTTTTCTTTTTCTTATCATCTATGTCGTTTTGAGCTGTTTTATCATCCTCTCTTGCCGCTGCACTATATATTCAAAACTTCGTTCCTGAGTGCCAAGTGGTTCATAATTTGCATAAGAGTCTGAATTGATGGTGAAACCAAAAAGTCAAGAATCTCACTTTGTGGCCTTATAACATTCTAATGTTCAGATGGATGACTTAGTAATCACTGATATTGCACAAAAGTTAGAGTAATTCTCTTTTTTCTTTTCAATGACTTTCTCACCCTCTGAAAATTTCGACAAAAATGTTCGATCATACTTCCTCAAAAATAAGTTAGGTAAAGGTATACATTCTGAAACTACAAGAGAAGCATTTCTGAGGTTTCACCTTCAATGTAATTTTTCAATTGATTTTGATTCACTCTGGGTGGTACATACAAATTTGGGCAGTTTTTCTAAGGTGTAGAAAATGCCATAATTTTAGTCAGAGCAATTTTTATGATAAGATAATGCAGACAGTATACAAGCAGCAAATAATTTGTGAAAATTCCAAAATGCAGCTGTTAAAATGAAAACATTAAACTTAAGTCTAGGAGAAAAAATGAATGAAAGGATGGTAATGTTTGTCGAAGTAAGTGTGGATATGCTCAGCTAATTTCTTCCTTGAAATCTTAGCCTTCAAGATTTGGGGAAACCTTTAAAGGCTTCTGATCAAATGACTTAACAGGGGTAGCAGCTCACTCTGTTTCAAGGTGTCAATTTCAAAAGGCATCTTCATCACTTTCTCACAGGAAGCATTTAGAAAGCAATGACCCCTCCTGCTTTCAACACATCAAGAAAACCTACATAACTGGAAATGGATAGCTACTTTTAAAAGTTTGTACCAAACATTAATTGCTGATTATTCCAAAGACCAGCTGTGTTTAACAGTTAATATTCAATATTTATTAATGTTAGTGAATATTCAATTTGATTATCTTTTTACAGTTAGCCCTACATGTACAAATATCTCATTCATAAAAGTACCATAGCATAAAAAAAATAGTAGCAGAGAGGAAAAAATTAAAATGCCTGAATACGACCAAGAGTGGACACTGCATTTTGACAATTATACTAAGACAAAGGATATTTTCAACTTGTAAATAACACACAAAATTCAAAACTCAAGCAAGCAGTTATTAGTAATTTCAGAACCAAACAAAAGCTAAATATGAGCCTGCAACAAACATTTGAAAGCTACGGCTAATTTTTTCAAAAAAATCTTTCTACCTACATAACTCAAAAGGCATGACACAAAAAAAAAGGACACAAAACTTACAACAAACTAACAATAAAGACAAAAAGAAAGGAAGGATGGGGAGAAAGGGCCAAAAAGAAAAAGAAAAAAAAGAAGAGAAGGGATGGAAAAGAGGAGGTAAAGAAATAAGGAAAGAAAATATATATTATCCAATAAGTAATGAAAAATAATGCTCAAAACAAGGAAAGATGCGACCAAAAATTCATGAATTTCAACAATATCCTTCAATTTATTTCAAACATCAAATTACGAAAATCCATCTGTATGCCACTTATCTGCAAAAGGAAACTAATTGCACAAATGCAGTTTCTAACAAGAGCCAGAAACAGTTGTACCCGCTTGCAAAATGTAGTCAAATTGATGATGCATGCGGCTATAAAATGGTTCATCATGAAAGAAGAACTTATAGTAGGCACTAGGATGCATTCTGTTGATTTAGGATTGGAAATCAGACATTATGACCAATGTCATTATTTCTTAAGAATTATCCACCAATGAAAATTTATCCTGCGATACATGCAACTGCCCAGTCATTCTAAGCAATACCTTTTAAAAGTTTGCTGAAACCCTTTAAAAACAGGTAAGTCCTGTTTTCAGACTTGTCTAATCCTTTTTCAAGGTACTCAACAAACTTGAACTTTTTAGCCACCTATACGCTATTAAAATGACGATTTCGACAAAATCTGACAAGTTTCCTAGTTTATTTTGTTTTAGCTACTCCTCCATTTCACCCAACTGTATCAAGCACAGGGTTGGAAAGTTTCTGACTTGTCAGAGAATGATCAAGCCTTTTGACGTTTTCAATTTTTTAACAAGCTGATGATGAATCAGGCTACTTGCATAGTGCGAACTCTAATCCTGCAGATTCAGTTTCCTGTTTTTCAATGAGGCAAGATATGAGTCCTAAATGAAAGCTTTCCAGTTTACCTTTTCACTCAATTACTGAAGAGATCACACACTCATACACACAAACCATAAACACAAATATACTTGGCTTTATGAATGGAGATTGATGGGAGAGAATCTAGAATTATCATATTGGAGATAAATCAATGAAACCATGTACCTCAGTTTGTTATGTCCTCTTCTATTTTACTCTTTTGTGGGATATTTAATTAAAGATTACTGTAAGAAACATCTGTGAAATTCTTCTTCCCTTTTTCGGCTCATTCCCTCAATATTTCAAGCGACAGTTTCACGTATTATTCTCTTGTAAAGATAAAAACAGAACAGAAATTCAGAGGCACATTACCAAGAGAAAAGGTTTCACATTTTTACCACAATATGCTCAATGACTACTGACTCGGATCATCACACTACTGGAGCTTCCTCAATGTGTTGAAAGAGAGACATTACTTGGACCTTTTAAAAAGCAAATTAAATCCAACCAAGGATCCAAACAGCTGGCTATCCTTCAAATTGTTTGATTAAATCATCTAATCATTTGAAAGCTGAATGATGCATGAAAACAAACGCAGGACAATGTAACACCAAACAATGCATGAACAAAAACTCACTAGGCAGGCTACCAAAACGCACACTAGGCTGGCTACCGCAATGCACACCACACTTACTTTGACAGTTCATTACCTTATTTTTTACCTTATTCAAAGGTAAAACAATGAAAGCTCCTCCACCAGCTGATTCTACGATGATAGCTAGGAACTTTGGGTTGACAGCACAGAATGTAGAATCCCATGATGATTTTGAGACTCTGATATTGTCGTAGCAGTGTTCACGTTTCAAAGCTGTGCCATACACATGCCGAAACTTACTGGAACGCACCACTCGGAAGGACATCTGAAATAAAAAAAAGTAATAGAGTGAATGAAATTACAGAACATCAGCAAGCATGAAAAATTATATCTTATTTCTGAATTTTGAAATTTTCTTTGGTAACGAAAGTATGTCCTATTCTAAAATCAGGAACGACAATTGGCCAAACCCTACTTATTAGATCAGCTCCTTTAATTTGGGCCTCGCTGTAACCACTCTTGCGTCTCATTTTTAAATTACTGATATTTAATTATTGGGCCATTTAATATACAACTGGCACACACACACAAGAGTTCCGACTGAGGGTTGAGGCAAAATTTTCTTTCTAACTGATCCTATATCAGTACTATCCTACCAGGTGATTAAAAACGATTCTTTCCTATGAAAGGTTTCAAACAAAATAATATTTCATCCCCATGGAGTCAAGTTCTCGCTTATCAGGAAGGAAAGTTTTCACAGCGGCGAATTGGTCCCACAACAAAATTAAATATTATACATCGGTGGCATCGGTCATACGAGGCTAGAGTCGCTAGACGATGGCCCTCATGGAGCATGGGCAAATGCTATGTAATTTTGTGTCGAGAGTAAAAAAATAACATCTCATGTAAAGGGCTAATTTGCCGCCTTGAAGTTGCCCACGATTTTCAGAGAGGGTTGAGATGACTCACCCGGAGAAAGAAAAAATTCGAAGTGGAAGCCAGTGCCACACCGCTGCATGCCCCGCAGGTTGACCTAACTTTGATCTTCCTCAAGTTCTTCCAATAGTTTTCCCCTCATTTTTTTCTCACACAATTAATTGGGGTACTTCCATAATAATTAGAAATAATCACAATAAACAACAACCCCTACATTTTTTTCCGTATCCCTCCCCTCTCTTTTTCTAAATGAAAAAAAGAAGAAAAACATCCAAAATTTGCCACCCAGTACCATGACACCTTGCCTCCCCTCCCCCATATCGGACTCCCCTTCCACTAAATTTTTTCAGAGTTGATTTCATTGGTTTCTGGGCAGTGATCCCAAGTGTACGGATATACCTGTGCCATTTGGATTTTCCCTATCCTGGTGCGGACAGCGTACGGACAAAAACCGAACGGGAAAACGCTTCCCTATCCTAAAGTATCCGTACGCCTGACGTCACAGAATGACGAAGTAGCCAACAGCAGCATAGAGAAAGGCAGAGCGTACAGATTTCGCACACAGAGCACCTGGGAACACTGTTTCTGCGACTGATCTCATTTTGAAAAATGCCAACTTCCGGAGGAAAGTTCACTTGAGGGTCAAATCAACCGTTACTATTAACTTTTACAAATAATTTTTGCAGGGATGCATGAGCTCCTTACATCCACAATGTGGATGATTTCCCAAGGAGCCAATGGTATAGATCTAATTCTCACTAATGTACCGATGTCAAACTTCTTAAATTGGAGGTCAAAGATACATGTAAATTAGGGAATAGAGGGCTGGTAGCGAACCATTACTGCAGGGTAGCTACTTCACTATCTGATCTAACTGATAGTTCAAAAAGAGTAATTCTAATTTTGTATAAGTACCTTCAAACAAATTCGAAGATTCGCTCACTGAATCGTTACACAATTTTGAAGCAAGAAATGTGGAGAGGAAGAACTGAAAATATTGGCTATCATAGAGAAGATTGGTCACACATTTGTTTTGGTGACAGTTAATGGGCAAATTTCTGGGCCAAACTAAGACAGCAAAATCATAAACTGGCAAAAATAGTGGTTTCACCAAAGTACAGTTATCTAGCAGCAAACTCATCAATGCTCAGTACCAGGCTACAAAACTATTCTCGACGTGGAATAATGGATAGAAACGTAACCATCACATTTAACTAGAATACGAATATCGACTTCAAGTATTTGCTTTAGATGGAAAAACACATTTCTTATGGTAAAAACACTGAATTAATAAAAACTGAAAATGAGGTTAGGCCATTGGGTCACTCTCGTTTGGAAAAATAACTGAGCCTCGTGTCAGTAACGGGCAGTGGTCATTTACCTTGAGCGATTAGTTTCCTGGAAACATCCAAATCACCAAAAAATTATCCAGTATGCATCGAAAAATATAAACAAACGCAAACGACTCTAGAGGCATGAGAACGAACAGTTCTTCTGCATGTTTAACCTGGATTTTAGGGTGGTGTTGAATTCCCACTGTAGACGACGCACTGCCATATTTGGCGATGACAAAAATACTTAATTCCTTTTATTTTCCAAAAAACGCACCAAAATTACACGACGCGACGCGAGGACGATAATGATAAGACGGCACACAATCAGCACTTATCGGTATTTCATACCGTAGGAATTGCGCAAATATTTGAACGACTACAATCAGCAGAGGGCGAGGGCATTTGCGACAGGGTTGTCAAATGTTCGTTTAAAATATAACAATCAGCCTACAGGACCAAAACAGAAGTTACCAATTTTTTCTGAAATTTGGCAACTATAAATGAGCTCACCGCGACGACGCGCGATTTCTGGCGCGTAAAAGAGCTGAAACCTCCCTTACAACTTGACAACGCGCACAAGTCCGTTAAACTTTTGGTTTCTCCCGAAGATTTCTCCTGAATTCCATCGAAAGGGTGTTCGAAAAGTCCTCCCTCCCCCCCTCTAACTTTTTACCTATTTGAGGTAGAGATTTAAAACTTGGAGGACGTTTCTGAGTCAAAGGGAGCTACTTTTTGACCCCCTAGAATTTTCAGTGAGGCCCCTTGGCTTTGGGGAGGGGGGGGGGGGGACGGACCCCAACTTGTTTTCAAGTGGGAAAGACACCCCCCCCCCCCTTGCGGTACCTCGTTCGAAAAAGCATAGAAAAAGGAAAATTTTTGCGCAAACCTGAAGTCAATATCTCAAAACCGTTTAAAAATGGCGGCCGGTTAAAGTTCAAAATAGCCGAAAATTAGGGATTTGTTTCAAATCTAACTACAATTTGTTAATCTCATGCCAAAATGCCCCGAAGTTCCATGATCTAGGCAAATCAATCAGCAAAAAATCGAGGTGGCAATTTTTGACCGTGTTAAACTTTAACCGGCGGCCATTTTGGAAATTTCGGTTTTTTGGGGGTGAAAATTTTGGGGGGTCAAAACGTAACTCTCTTTGACCTAGGAACGGCCTCCGAGTTTCAAATCTTTACCTCAATAAGGTAAAAAATTAGAGGTGGGGTGGGACTTGTCGAACAGCCTGCATAGAACAGGAGCCAGCTGGGCAAAGCATATCGACGGTGAAACTACCAGACCACATGTATCTTGGTTTGCGACGTTGCAGACTTCCTGCCGTACGTGAATCTTTAAATACATAACTACTCAACGTCAATTCTTGTAAACTTCCGTAATTTTTCTTCTCAGTTCGAAAAAAATTACGTACATGGAAACTTCAAGGAATGATATTGAATTGTTCACCAAAAAAATTAAATTAGAGCGGACATTTTTAGGCACCGCAAACAAGGTGCGTGGTCTGGTAGTTTCACCATCAAAATTTGGAAAGATGTAAAGCGATATTTTCTCTTTTTTTCAATAAAATGTACTTACACATGTTTTTCATTTAACATCTCTTTTTTAGGGTTTTTACCAATGTTGCATAGAATCACATACATGTAACTCCTCTTTTTATTTCTTTTATCAAAGTTGCATGGACCTACATATATGTAACTACCACTTTGGGGGGAGGGGAGCCCCCTCCTGCCCCTCCCCCCCCAAAAGAAAAAAAATTGGGGATTCTTATTTTATTCAAAGATCTTTCAGAAAAGAATTTTTAATTCAAAATCCATGATCCAGAATTAATTCATGCAATAGAGGGTTAATGATTCTAATAGAGGCTCTTGAAAAATGTAACTGCTCTCACCCTTGGAGAAGAGTTAAGGGTTAGAATTGTAAAAAATTTGCCACCCTGAGGAGCAGGAAATATAATAAACAATTTCTCAACTAAGAGGGTTCTTGTCTCCTGATGAAATCAAAGCTATGATGACCTAAACAAAAATTAATCAGCATGATTAAGTGGACGCTAAACTTTGCACTTCCCCAACTGTAAACTTCAACTTAGGGGTACAGAAATCTAGAAGACGAGAGAAAGAAGATGAGAAGCGTAGGAATCAATCTGCAATACAAAGTACCGAATTTATTTCATCACATTTAAAACAAGTACAAGCAACAACTTAAGCGTAGAGAAAATTGCTCGAAAATACGAACTTTGGATTAGGCTTCACACAGGGTCACAATTTTCAAACCGAGATGTGAGAATTTACGTGTAGAGGAGACAAGCACAATGATAGGGGAGCTTTTCCCTTTCTTATTTTGTATTCGCAGCAAAACTAAACATTTAATGATTGATTTCCAAATACCCACTCAAAATAAGTCAAAAAATTAAAATAAAAATGCACTTGAAACAAAAAATACTGGTTCTAAAATACATTGAATGTGTGGGAATGGAATGCCGAGAAATCGCATTTCCTAATTCCAGACAATAACTTCCCTCAAACTATAAAAATTGAAAATCTGAAGAAGGAAATACATTCTTGACACTTTTTTAACAATGTAAACTGGGCTTTGCATCAGATTTTATTAGGAAGAAAAAAAAATGACTGCAGATATGGTCTCAACATTGCAAGGGGTATGCTGCTAATGTAAAGTTTTAACACATTTCAAAAAATTTAACTTTTTCTACGGTCTGCAACAATATTCTATTATTTAAAAGCTGGATTAAACTGATTCATTTTCATTGGTCGAATTCAAGAAATGACATTTTCTACGAATGTCCAACTAGATTATTTGAATGAATTCTAAATCCAAAATTACAATTCATTAATTACCCAATCAGGGATTGACTTTGATCTCACTTTATGCTGGATTAAGTGAATAAAACTTGTAAGAAGAATGAGTTTTGTACTTGATTACAGATTAGCCAGCTTCACACAATGGTGCAAAAGATTAAAGTTCGGTAGTCCATGATTTTCAATCAGAGTACAGAATGAAAAATTTCAAAAACTAACGATCAGCAAAAAATAAATTTGAAAAGTTTAGAACGAGTTAAAATGCAACTGACTTTTGCGGCTAGACAAGGTTTAGCAAAAACAATGAAGCCTCATCTATAAAAAACATCTTCAATTAAATGCTTATACAGCTTTGACTTGAATCAACACTGAAAGAGTGCTACAGCACATGAAGGAGGAACTCCAGAAGATAAAATACATGGGACACTTGATGATGAAGAATCATCACTCATCAAAAAACTACATTTAGATAAATTAACTTTGGTGTAAACTTCTGATGAGTGGTGCTACTTTCAAAGTAAGCAAGAAATGCTAATCAGTTGGTGTATTCTACCTATAGGAGTTGAGAGAAAAATCTTCTTTATTTTTTCTCTACGAACACTAACTCCTAATCATCAAACTGCATTGTTGTAATCCTGTGGCAAGATAGAGAGCATTATACAGAGTGTCCAAAAGTTAAGGTACTTAACTTACAGGATTGATTTTTCGGTTCAAAATTTGACTTTTTTTCCCTTGACACATATGCCCAAAAACGCTACGAGGAACGTCCGTTCTTGAAAATACGAAAAATGAACAGTACGCCGATAAATACCTCCCTGCACAGAGTTTTAGGTACTTACAACTAAATAACGAGGAGTTACATTAATTTGAAAGAAAACAAATGGCAACTTTGGAAGCACATAGCTCACTCATCAAGCGTTTTTGGGCATATGTGTCTAGGGAAAAAAAGTCAAATTTTGAGCAGAAAAATGGATCCTGAAAGTTCAGTACGTTACCTTCCGGACATCCGGTATGATATTCTGCCATAGATAGAGGAAATACCAAGGAACAGATTTAATGTAATATGAAATGCAAGAGATACAGAATTACATTGATAGGAAAATATACTTATTCCACAACTCATACATGGAAGACAAGATAGAAATAGGAAAAAGTAAGAAACGAGCAGATATGCATAACATCATTCCGATAAAACACCTTGACTTTCTAGGGATAAAATAAAACTCAAAATACTGAGCACTCATCTAAGAAATGGCTATTTCTCTTCAAATCATCATGTTTTATCAATAAAAAAATTCATTGGACTAGAACTGAGTTACAGTCTCAGCATGACAGATGTTGGCCTGGAACAGGTACAATAAGAACCAAGAGATAGGAGGAAATCAATAGCTATTTAGTAACTACCCTAAGTTAGGATTAACCTATCCTTCATGTGCTGGGAATGGAAAGAAAAATCACGGTTCGAATATTTTGCAGCTTAAATGACGACTGCTAGTAATGTTCACAGGTTTCCTGACCTTCTTTTTCTGAATATCAAAACTAAAACGATTCGAGCGTGAAAGATAAAACTATACAATCATAATCATAAAAAATAAAATTCAGAAAGGGACAGAAAATAAGGTTTCAAGGGTCGTAAAAATAACAGCGCTTACACTTTATAAAATATATAGGATATCTAGATAGAACAGAATCAATTGCCGGTGGACACAAAGACTTACATATCTAGATAAAATATGCTACATCACGATTGATCATTGTGCACACAAAAAACCAGCTGATTTAAGTGATTGACATATTCATGGCTAGATTTTAAAAAATCACAGATTTTCCTGCTGTCTGGTTCTTAACCAACTGCGCTATTCAGAAATACCGTCTGCCACTCCGAGTATTTGAAGAGGAATGCATACAGTTACTTAAAACTACTATAGATTTAGGGATGTTTGAACATTGACGAGATACTGCGGGGAACGAAGTTTCGAGGATTTAAAAAGGAACAGGCTTGAAAGAAGGGAGAAAATTTTTCTTCATCATTCTCTCCTCAAAAATATGAGCGACTTACTTCAGTTCCATTGGTGTGTTGAAAAGAGCAGCAACACGTGGCTTACCTGCGGACAAAAGAAAATAAGTTTCTGACTTCTCAAGGGTCACACCAAACTCCGAAATACTAAAACAAACCTACAGAGTTACACATAAAATGCATGACGCTAAAGTTTAGATTTTTCAATCATCCTCCTCACCCTCATAACACTTTGGTGACATGGGTCCGTAGATCCCTATCTGGAACAAGTGAATAAAAAAAGGTGTTACGCTCTCTTCAACCCCCCTCGCCTTCCCCCTGGAATTTAATGTATTTTATGAACGGCCTTCTAAGTACTCAGCAACATCCATAATTTCTGCAGTCGATACTATGACTCATTCAAGTTCCAAAAGCAAAAATTCAAGCATATTCTGATTTTTCATTAACTTTTATCGAAATTCTGAAGTATAAATTATTTCCATGAAGATTTTAAAATTAAAAAATAAGGAAAATATAAAACTATATAAAAATTAAGCATTTTTGTTAACAGCGTGTCTTAAATTTTATACTGTCTTTTGCCATGTCTACCGTCAACTCAGCCTCGGTCGAGGCTACTCTTGAGGGCTCCTCTTAAAATCTCAGATGATTCAATCAAGCTTTACAATCCAATAGACGACTAAAAATTCTGCCAACTTGTACATTAATGATTTGATCATACTTTCTCAGCGTATTCAACAAAAAGAAATGGCAATACCCCAAAATTACAACACATTTAATTGATGTTCCTTACAAACTCCTACGCACAATGGACTTAAGAGCTAGAATTTTCTACTTGTCGATGTCAAGAAATATCAGGATCGAAAAAAGAGTTTTAATGCCACCTGAGCATGTAATTGTGAAGAGTTCTAGAGCCTTTCTTTGCCAGTTAAAAAACACCACTTGTCTTCCCATTACAGACTTTTGCATTTCAGTTACAAAGGCCATGCCTCAGCATAATTGCATACAGGCAGAATTGCAGAAAAATTCACGTTTCAATTCTACGTTACTCAAAATCAGCATTGAAGAAGTTTCTATTTTGAAGAAGAAACAAAAGATGACTTACGCTTAGTAGAGTTGCTGAGGTTATCTTCTGAGCTTGAGAGAACATCAGACGAGCCTACGGAGTTATTAACATTGGCCAACTTCTTCTCTTCTTCCACTGAGCCGTTGCTCAAGTCAGCCTCATCTGTTTCACCAGTCTGAGGGATGAGCATGGACGGCATGGGCAACTCACTTGGGTCCGGTGCCATAACGTATGGAACGCTACGATTCAAAGAGCGATTCTCTTGTGGTGAATCATTTGCAACTGTGAGCTGGATTGATTTGCATGGTGATATGAGTTTAGATGCCTTGAAAGTGTCTGGGTGGAGCATCAAGTCTGGCAGCTGAATACTTGGGATCTGTAAAATAAAACATGCAATTGATTTACAGCATGATCATACCTTGCAAAAAGTCAGTTTATCCTGCTTTTTACGTGGTATTGTATGCAGGTTGTCATATAATAGGGAAGGCCTGTTACAAATGTTTCCTGAAATTTGAAATGGTAGCAACTGAGGATAATTTCCGTTATCAAATAATTGGGAAAATTTTTTCACAGAATTTTTCTGATGAATTCTCCTGCTACAAAATAGAACATGGCATTTTATTTTTTGTGCAATCTAAGGGGAAATAATCAGAAGGTGGTCTGCGTCCTCATTTTTTGGTAAACATATGTTCTAGGCTGAAAAAGTTTAGTACCCACTGAATTGATCGATTTGGAAATTTCCACAAAGATATGAACCTAAAAGATATCTACCTGCTTTTCAGTTACTACATTGATGAACTAGCTAATTGCTAATATTTGATAAGCTTTTATTTTCAGTCGAATATTGTGTTTCGTTACTTGTGCTCTGAACTTAAAGTTCTTTGATGTATGCATCAAACATTTCTCAGTTAACTGATACTTATTAAGTAATATACACAATGCCATGATTTTGAAACTTTTTACGGCACAATGTCTCACCCATCACCTACTTCAATAACGCTATTGATTGACGGATTTAAAGTGAGCCTTTCAAGTGGAAATATTTGTCTAAAATTTGCACGCTTTTGCGTACTAATAAGTTTCATTATAGAACAATAGACTGATTTAGTGGCAACATCATAATTTCTTACTGTAGTTTTGATGATTCAAATGTAAACAGACAGATGACCTTATCATATTCACGCTATGGTAGTAAAATGCATCTAGGTGTTTCGTGCAATTAAAAGAGGTTGTTCCAAAAACGCCGATTTTGGCCCCCCCCTGGATTTGGCCCAAACTTTGCTCAGATGTTGTACTAAGTGTCCCCGATGCTTGGGCAAAATTTCAGCCCCCTCGGATAATTNAACCTTCAAAATCGAAAAAATCGATTTATGACTACGATAAATTACGCAACCATGCAAACAGCATCAATATTCGTGTAGAGAATATTTTTTAACGTTTTTTAGCGCAAACCGCAACACTTACACTCAAACCGTTCGCGAGATATCGATTTTTAAAGTTTTGAAAAAATTGCAACTTTGCCCCCCTGCCCCCTCCCCCCTAATTATCCGAGGGGGCTGAAATTTTGCCCAAGCATCGGGGACACTTAGTACAACATCTGAGCAAAGTTTGGGCCAAATCCAGGGGGGGGCCAAAATCGGCGTTTTTGGAACAACCTCTTTCTCAGGTTTGAAGGGTCATTTATTTATTTGTATCTATTGAATGACAAATTTGTAAGGAATTAACACAAAATTAACTAGCCTAGTATTTGGACATGAGGATACATTTTTCTGTTTCGATTTGAACCATCGCAAGTCAATTTTGCAATGAATGATGATTGCAAATTGATATGTCGAATACTGCACGGATAACGTCGTTACTACCTAAATCAGTCTATGTAGAAGAAAAGTAGAATTTTTGTGAGTACCTCTTCATCACCACTAATGTTGTTGGTAATGCGGCTGCTGAATGGTGGAGAATTTTCAGGAGTAACAAGCGAGGAATCCAGAGTGGAGTTAAATTTCTATGGAAATGAAAATGAAAAAGATAAGAATATTTTAAAAAGAAAATATCACACCATTATCCTATACTGGAGAATAATTTCAGTGGAGGACTGACTATTTTAGATTCTGACACTCTCCTTACACTTCATCACATCAATATCCAATAATTAATTTCACTATTTTCGTAGTATTCGGCATTTTAATAAGTAACTTCAGTGATTGATTTTAATCTGTATTCCACGTACTGGAAGGATTTTTCTTCATCCATGGAACAAGATTTAGCTTAAGGTTAGGATTGCATGTAACCGCTCAATGACTACCTTGGAAGAGCAATCCAAGCATTCTAAAGGAGCGCATGGAACAGGCTGAACTGCAGCAATGGACCGGGATAAAAAAGTAACAAGGTTCATCTCCAGTTGGGATGGGCAATAAAGCCCTTATAATAACTTCTGCACTTTATACATGTCTTCACCTGAGCTGTGCCGTGTTTTTACTTACATTCAAAGACTATAGGAGAACCTAAATTGAATTCACTGAAGTCGTCACAATTGGTAAAGCACAGATCCAGCATTAGTTGAAAAGACACAGTTTAAAAAACAAATTAATTTTAGAAAGGTGTATTCAATAGTGAACAGTACCTCATTATCATTCTTGTGGTTGTTGAGTTCTTCTTTAGCATTTTGATTTTGTCTTTTCGATTGAGCTTGATTATTATTTTTGGAAAAACCTAAAATTACAGATAAGAAATGAGTAAAAAGATGTTAGCAGCGGTAAAAGTTTAGACCTTTTAAAAATAAATTATTTTTTTCTTTCTCATTGTTGCAAAGTTGAAATGAAGGCTAGGATAAAACTAAGCGTAAAAATTTCAGAAGAGAAACTTTCCATCAAATACTTTCAAAACTACTGACTTCAAAATCTTACACTTTAACTTAATGGTCTAAATCAAGCTAACAGAAGGAGATTGTGATGTGAATTCAGAGGACGGAATACACTTTTATCAATCAATTTTGCCCTCCAATCAAAATAAGCAGTTGTAAAATAGGTAGAGATGTTTATTCTTAAAGGTTTTTGTAGTTTGTTTTTGTTTTTTTCTTTTTTATTCGTTTACAGTTGCTCTATGATTTACAACTCTATTATTTGAAAGCACAAAAACAAGGTCTTACCATTTCTTTCATTGGTATTTTTGTTCTCATGTGAGGGTGAAAAACCACTTGGCAGAAGAATGCCAGCATCTATAAATAGAAAACAGGACAAATATTAAAAATTTGTTGCTTCAGGAACTGAAAAGAAACATTTTTAACATATTTTACATTTTTAACAAATCAAAGTTTTCCCTTTTTAATATGGCAAGACTTATATTTTAAAAATGAGCGAGAACAAAGTAGACTCATTTAAAATCATCCGGAATTTGGCACAGTTCCTATGAAGGTTTCGCGGAGAAATAAATTTTAAACCAAATAAGTGCTATAATAAAGACAATAACCCAAAACAGGTTCTGCAAAATATTAATGTGTGAGAAAATTTTATTCAAATATTTTAAGGTTGTCAGCAAATGTCATGTGAGATTGGAGAGAGAGCTTGAATTTCTTACTTGCTAGCTCTTTGTTCAGCACCAAGATTCGTCGTGGTCCTTTGCCGCGAATGAGCACAGTGTGAGAAACAGCTTGCAGGAGTGAGAGGAGCGTTTGGTGATTGTATTGTGCTGGTTGGACAGCTGTACCAAACATGCGGAGGTAGGCCATCTCAAAGTTGCTTAGAGCCAAGCGTCCATTCCAGTTCAGAAGAAGGCGGTAGATGTCACGGGCAAATAACTGGAGGTCACGCAATTGGACATTCACAGTGCCATTTTCTGATTTTGTCACCTGGTAATAACACAGAAATTGAGTTCAGATGTCGGTACTTAGAACCTTGTAATCAAAACAAACTTGTAAATTTTCAGAGTACAAAATTAATTTTGAAATTCTACATTACTTGACTTGAAATGCAGATTCCAACTTGCAGGGTAAAATTTTAGATGCCATCTTGACAAGCCTAATTTTTAGGAGTCATACTCAATTTTTTAAGGGCCAAAAATATTAATTGCTTAAGTGTGTCCCATCATGGCGTACAAAATATGTGGTTGATTACATTTGACTTTTTCAGACGTGGTGCTTGACAAATTCACTTAGTTAATAGGTGTCAAAACCTCTTTTTACAGTGCAAGGCGCTTGGTGGATAATGACTTTTTAAACCTCAGATATAATTCTCTGGGTTTTGTTATTATTTATTTTACATTCTTAGGAGATACAAAACTGCAGTGCAACTTTGGCTAAGAGTTTTTAATTAGACAAAATTTTAACATTTTTGTGCAAGAAAATATCCTGCTACTTCGTTATTGTAGGAAAAACTTGGGAACTGGTAAGATGAAACCATTATTGACCCATTACTTATACTCTCAAGTCAAAAGAAGGGTACAACTCTTGTTAAAGATATTAATAAGGTTATCACTTGTATTTTGTGGAGATAAAACACATTTTTTAAAATGGCATGTAATGTTCAAAAATTTCTTTTCATATTTTATTTTTTAAGAGAGTATTAGCAGACGTACTTGTACCAAATTCTCAGAAAAAATTCTTGTAAGGGCAACAAAAAGTTGAACACAATTCGGTGCAGTTGTTGTTTTAAAATAAGACATATAATTTTTAATGCAAACTAAATCCATCATCAATACACCATTGGATAATGACAATATCAGGTGCATATCTACCTTGACAACATCAGAGAGTTCCTTCTCTAAAGTTTCAAGTTCACACTTTTCTTCACCGTAGTAAGCTTTGAAAGCATTACAGAAATCATCAAACGTCATTTTGGAACTGGGTTTCTCCATCAAGACTCGGCGAACTTTCATTGCCAGATCTCGAATGTGCTTCAGATCTACAGCCTGCAAAATCGGTCCTGATGGTGACTCTATCACCTGTTAACAAAAGCAAATCAGTTAAAGAAGCGATATCCACATTAAATTTAACAGAGTGTCATTGAGGTGATAACTAGTCACAAGGGAATTAAAACAAATCTGAGACTGAGAAAATTATGGTCTTATGGTAGAATTGTTAAGTATCACCGTAGAAAAGCTTTCAGTAAAAGAAATGTATTGAATGGTTTCTGCAATACATTCTATTGTTTTTGTACATGATTAATTAGTGTCATAACAACTCCAGGAATTGCGAGCCTTCTCAATAGTTTTGTATCCTTTCTCGAATATATCAGGGGTATTGAAATCAGTACCTAGCACCCAAAATTTTTTGCTCTTGAAGTACTTTTCTGTTCAGTGACAAAGTTAGGACCAATTACGATATTGAAAAATTTCCTCATGTTTCATCATATTTTTCGAGGCACACACAATTCTAAATTTTCAACAAACCAAAAAAAAAACTTTGTTCTTAAAACTGAAAATTTTTTTCAATTACCATTCCATCACATTTCAGGAAAACTGTTTTGTACCACCTAAGTAGGACCAGCATACAAACCTGCATGCCATTGGTGGCCTTCTTTTGAAGGATTACTTGTACAGGCTGTACTTATGCACACCTATCTTTCTTGGTTCCCATGAATTCATTTTTTTAAAAAACCGGACTAAGCGAGAAGGTAATGGTGGTTGAGGCAATATACCTTGATACGCGTCTCCAGCTTAGAGAGCAGGGTTCCAAGGTCTTGACAATCATATGCAAGGGGCTTCAAAGCGTAGCCATATTGCCATAGGAACGAGGCACACAGATCTGACATCGGGAGGGAGGGCGGGTTCCGTGAGTTAATGAGGTTCAGGAGTTGATCTGTTAACACATTTAGCTTCTTCTCTGTTGTTAGTGTGACTTGACGCTCTCCATCGCTGTCATCGACTACCTACAAGGGAAAGAAAACAACTACCTTGACTTCAAGATTTGAGGTACGAATGAAAGATGAATAATTGTTGATTCCTGCACCATCTTAGTTCTCTTTTCCAGGATTTTTCATTGTTTCCTACAACTTCCATATTATACATAGTATGACCATCTGTTGCTATAGTTAACTTAGAGCGGGTCAAAAAATTGGTCACGAATGCAATTTTTATTGAGTTAGATCTAAAGTTCGGATTTTGAGTTATCAACTACATATTGATGAGCGTTTTCCATCAAAAACTTTAATTTAGATTTCTCTCTGCAAAAATCGTGGTGCCCACAAATTTTCCTCAGGGGCTCTTCGCAGTAGACAGCCATGTATAAGATAAATCTTGTTTGAATCATGGTCGAGCTAACTGTGATTACATTCCTTCAAAATGCTCTATAATCAGGACGATGGGGTTGGAGGAGATCATAATAACGAGAAAGCAATAACAGGAGCAAGTAATAACAGGGAAAGCTCACCTTGACAATGTCTGGAATGGCATCAAATAGGTCAATCAGTTTGGTAAATCCGTAATCAGATACTCTGCATTGGTGACCATAATGGTGATGATATGCAGGGATGAATTTGCTGAATAAAATACTGCATTGCGGAGCATGGCTCAGCAGTTCTACCGCCTGCACAAGCAAAATTAAAATTAGGATCACGGTTTCATTATGTCAGAATCAGAGCATAAATATTAAAAGACAATTCAGAAATGTTTGCTTAGTAAAAACAAAAAATAGAGTCTTATCGCTTGATGAAGTTCGAAGATTTATATCTGTTCATTTGCAAATTTTCATTGGAACATCTCATTGAGAAAATTGTAGAGGTGGTGGCCAAATAGGGATTGTTACTTACTGACATGACATGAGTAGAAAAATAACTAGAAACTGGGCTGAAACTGAGAGCACAAAGAACCATTTGAACTATTCTGCTGTGCTAGCGAAAAATGCCCAATGAACATTCAGCAACTGCAAAATTACTTGTGGTAAAATCTAAGTTTGCGTCACAACTTGTAAATTTCTTTCCATGAATTTTTTAGAACATTTTATGTAAAATTTAAGGTATGTAGTGCATTTGTAAATTTCAAAGAAAAACGTTTAAAAATTTTCTTGAGAATAAATATTTATTGAAAGAAACTTCGGTGATACACATTCAAATGCTCACCCGGTGTTGTACCAAGCGAGTTAAATGATACTGACGGTACTGGGTGCAGCCCATTATTCCCAGTGATGTAGTAATATGGCAACATTCCCAGTAATACAGTCAGTGAGTCTGATGAAGTTTTTGTAAATTTTGGCTACATCTTAGGCTTACACAGGCTAAAATTTTACTTCAATTTGCTATTAAAAAGATAGGAATATTTAAAAAAATAAATAAAAAATAAAAGAAAAAAAAAACAGTACTTTGGAGATTATGAAATGAAAGAAGAAGTTTCATTACCTGCGCAGCAAAGATTTTAGTTCTTTCGATTTCCTCAGGAGTTTGCTCACGTTTTGGAATAGCAATGATAGTATCCGTTTCACTTTGTGTCATAACTACGACGTAATCAGGCACTTGTGATAAAAGATCCTCCAGATAGCAGAGCCCATAATCAACAGGATCAAATGGACGATTGAGCAGTTTTTCAAAGAGACTCGGGAATTCTGATAGAGTGCACTGCTTGTGTGTTTGTGCTTTCAGCACACGCAAGAGATCTGAGGTGAAACGTCGAATCTGAACTCGATGTGCAAGAGTTAGTGTGCGATGAGAACCTCCACCCAAAACCTGGAAAATAGACAAAATTATTTACAATTTTGAATGACAATTCAAACAGTCTCTTAGACAGACCCATTTCTACAAAACTAAATTTTAAAGAAAAACAGTATAAAATTAATTATGACAATTAAAAGAGTCAAAGGAAAAAACATCTGTTAAAGAACTAGAGGTGCCATATGGAGTGCTTTATAATTAGGTAGCTAATTCGAATAATACAACTCTAAACAAAAAATAAAAATTGAAATAGTCAAAGTTGAGTTATTTCAGAGCTGTCTGACTTAAACAACCAAAAATTGGACAAAAAGAGCAGAAAAGAAATGGTTTCTGTTTACATTGTTCATCTCATTCCAAATTGAGTTGAATTTATATAACTATTAAAGCTGAGCATTTCACTGTGCTTCAGATGACTCTTCGGGGGAAACCGTAAGAAATTTTAAAAAGCAGTCCCTTCTTAGGTGAATAAAGAAAAGGAAAATTCAACCTTCATGACCTTATGCAAATATACACAAACCCCTTCATTTCATTTTGCGGAGTAAATACCATTTTTTGAGATTTTTAACTGTTCAGGCATTTTCTGTTTTAATACGAACAAATATTCTCCTTGCATCAAATGCGCTTATCTCTACTGAATATAGTTCTGAAAACAAGCTAAAATCACAAGAGACTTGAGTTGAGTTATTTTTGAACATAATGATACAAATTGTGTTCTTCTGATAGAAGTTTGCAACAATAGTTATCTTGGACATTATCAGAAAAGAACGAAGACCTTACCTGGATGACATGCGGCAGTATTTCAAGGAGATCAATGAGTTTGGTGTACCCATAGTCAGCGACACGGCACTGGCGCCCGAAGTGATGATGATAAGCAGGAATGAACTGACTGAACGGCATGCGGCAGTGAGGAAACGTTTTTAACAGATCGGCTAATTCACGACTGAAAAGACTCAGCTGAGGAATCAGGGATGGACTTATGCACTTTAGACTATCAAAATGGCCTAGGAAAAAGGAGAAAGAAGAATTTTAAATGATGTCATTTGTTGGATTTTACCGCACAAAGATTACCTGCCTTTTTCTTGGAAATGGTGCCAAGGTCGAGATTCACATAATGAATGATATTGTCAGGCCTAGATTAACGAAAATTTACGGATGGCCAGTTAAGTAAAGGTAAATTAGGGATCATTTAAATTAGACCGAAGTAATAATTTGATCAGTACTTTTATAAATGCCAAACGTCCAATTTTCAAAACCTAATTTTCAATTATTTTCTTTTTGGCATTTTTTAACTCTTTTGTTGTAATTCTTCCTACCCCAAAAAATAGCTGTGGCCCGCCACAGACAGACATACAGGAATGCGTATGTTAAGTAAAAAGAGTGTCAATATGAAAAAAAAAAAAGATTATGAAAAGTTGGATTTCTACCCCTTTTCAAATTACTGCTTCAATTTCCAAGGCAGACCTAACTAAAAACATTATTACAGATGGAAGGAACCCCGCACAGAGCATGGGCTCAGCGGCTCTCTATGAAAGTCGATGAAACTTTAATAGATTGATACAAAGTTCACACTTAAGGGAAAGCCAAAAAATTAGCTCACTTCTGCGAGTAGAAGCCGAGATATTCGCGATTGAACCCGGACTATTTTCTGTGCGGCGGAGGTAAATTCTCCGCGTCGCCTTACCTTGCTTGAACACTTCGGCCAGGAAACCCCCCCTCCCCACCAGGTAACTACGATGTCACATTGTTTACACTCACTCCTTTCATTAGGACGCTCCGTTCAGGCTGTGCGATATGTAGTTCCCTCCTTCTCGCACCTCTCCCGTGCCGGCGCCACCGGCCGGTTTAATCTGAAATGTAGTTGCTGAAACAGAATTGACAGATGCGGGGAGAGGGAGGGAGTACGGCATTCGCACCGGCCGAGCGCATAAGCACCTGTCTACCCGTGAGTGACGTGAGGTCTGATCAAGAACGCCGAGCAACGAGAGGAAAGGGGACTCGGAATTCCTCCGTCATGCTGCAGCATGATAGAAAATAGTCCGGATTCAATTGCGAATATCTCGGCTTCTACTCGCAGAAGTGAGCTAATTTTTTGGCTTTCCCTTAAGTGTGAACTTTGTATCAATCTATTAAAGTTTCATCGACTTTCATAGAGAGCCGCTGAGCCCATGCTCTGTGCGGGGTTCTTTGTTTCATTATAATCACTTATTATATATTATGATTTGAGAAACAAGAAATATTTAACGCTGATAGGAGTATGTTTTGAAGTTAACTACTTACACAGTGGTTATGATTGAAAAAGTACTTGAAATTACTCACCATCAGATTTGGAGTCATCACTGGCATTTTTGGAAGGATCACACGGCAGAATAAACTTGAAAGTTGATTGGACGATTTCTACACCGGAGACACAAGAGATAAGATGCTCTAGTGGCACGCCATTCTCATCAGGTTCCAGCGTCACCCCACATTCAGCAGCATAACAATCACATAAACTAAGAAAAATCAGCAAAATTAGAACTGCCACAGAGAAGTTTCAGGAAGTTTTATGATGACCAATGAACTTGATTAGTTCATTTAATTAAATTGCCTCAAACTGATACTCATCTATCATTTTTAGGCGAATTTTATTTGATTTTTTCTTCAACAAGTTGCTCATTATCGCTGAGCAAAAAGTGGCATGGACCTGCCGACAGGAGTTTTGCAACAATTACATTTCTTTGACTCGCAGTGCAGGGTCTCTCAACTATGTTATATATTTTTAGCTGGCTTAATCTGTTCAATTAGTTGGTTGTACTGAATTTACTGACTTTGCTGGAATATTTTGGCTGAAGTTCAGGGCAGGTTCGCTAATGTAGGCAAAGCGTAACAAGCCTCTTCCACTTTTAATAGAGTAGAAAAGACATTGATTACAGACTCTGCAAGGAGAAAAATGCATACCTGGATAATGGTAGTTTGTTGTTATGAGAAGCTAAGAGAGTTTTAATATTTGCAGAAAACTGAGAAAACACAACTTTGACACAAGGTAGAAGAGATGCCTCCATTTCAGCCCAGCCAGTCTCATCAGACTTTTGATCACCGCGCCAATGACGCTGGCAGTAAGGCCATTCAGATTCCTGCACAGAGTACAAAAAATCTTTAGGGACGGCAATTAAACACAGAGAAGAATTTTCAGCAACCAATACAGTCAAAACGCTCTAAACAAAATGTTTAAGAAAAGGAAAATCTGATTCATTATGAGCGATGACCTTTCAATCTCAGATAAAGGGATTAAAAAAACAGTTTAGCCTTGCAAGTGGCCTCAATGGAGAAACGCGCATACCGAATCTGCAATCAGTAAGTAGAATTATGTCTTGTTTCAGATGCTAAGGATTATGGCAATCTTGGGAAGGGGGGGGTGTAATAATCCAGTCAGCTTAGAAAAGGCGAGAAGACAGTAACAGATTTGCCATCTCATTTTTCAAAACGGCCTTTCAAATTTTAAAACCTTTTCACCCCAAAATTTTCGAAATGACATTCTCTTCTTTTCTTTCTGTTTCCAATTTTTTCACTTTAATCGCAAATTGAGGGAATTTTGCATAATGAAAAACAGATTTTCGTTTTGGCGCGAGTCAGCCTCGGCATTATTAAACCCGGATTTGCTGACTTCCCATTTTTGCACGCAACCTGCTGTTTTACATTGTCGAGAAGTTTCTGCACCCCAAACTTAGAAGTTAAATCTCAATCTTCCATAAAGTAAGCACATATAATAAAGCAAAAAACATACAAAATGACAAAATTCTATGCCTTTTACATTAATTTTGGATAATTCAACTCCAAGAGGATGGCAAAAAAAAGAGGAAAAAACGGGGGGGAAAAATTCAATTGAGTGCTGACCTTTCCAGAATAATTAAATCTGGGTGAAGGAGTATTTCTATGATTTGGATTGAGAGAAATCATGCGCCCTTGGGGTTCATCTGTGATGATACAAACGTCTTCCATTTTATACAGCGTTGAGACACTCAGTGAGGAGAAGTATCTCTTTTCGAAGAGTTCACTAAATTTAAATAGCGGTAAGCGATAACCAGGTACTTCTAGAAGTAGAGCAACTATCTGAGATCTAGAACAAAGGAAAAAAATTACATGAACAAATGAGTCATGGCCTCCTTATTATGAGAATTTTTTCTTAGCGAGGTTATGAATACCCTGCTTCAAGAGAAGAATAAAATTTTTCCAACAACGAACTCACATCCATAGATGAACCGAATAAGTACTTTTTTTAATAGGATATTTGAGACATCTTGAAGAAAAGAGAGCCAAGTCCATTTTGCTGATGAGCCTTAGATTACAAGGGAATACTAGCATTGTAGGGCTCATCAGCACAATAGACTTTACTCCCTTTGGTTCAAAATGCCTCCTTCAACCTTCATTGAGATTTACTGATAGATTCAAGTTAGAATTGGTAATTGTATTTCAAACTGCAAACGCTAATATTGACATAATGGACAAGACTTCATAAATTATGAGCGCATTGATAGTAAATGTAGTACCAGGATTGAGTACCTCACAACTCTCGTGCAACTAAAATGCGCACAATTGTTTGGAAGAAGAGGAAGGAAAAAAAAAAAAAATTAACGCGTTCACATAAACTGATCACAGCAGCTGAGATCCATTCACTAAAGGAAGAGTCAAAAAGAACTCAAAAACGCAATCAGAAGTAAAAATTATTTTTGGTGAAAAAATATGTGTTTTTGGAGCTAATCAAATCCTACACTGCTTTCACTACAAACTTTATGTGGCTTGTGAGCGGATTTTTAACAAATCCAATACCATTAACAAATCTTGCATGAGATTAGGATGGGAAAATATGTCTTGCAATGCCTTGTGATTTGATAAAAATTAGTTCCACTTTTCTTTAATTCAGTTAACCACATCAAAACTTGACTCACCTAATGACACTAGGATTATGAGGTGATCCACTGCGAGCATAAGAGATAAGGATCCGCCGATAGCCGACCTTGTGGCGGTGAAGCTTAGAGATAGCAAACTGAGCGTCTTGGAGGCTAGGCACCTTGATGCTAGCTGCGTAGTCACCATCCTTCTGAAGGTAGACGGAGACGTGGAGAGTCTGGACATGCTGGCGGAAAAGTGATGTGAGGATACGGCGCAGAGAGTCAGCATCCATGTTAGGGTCCAGATTTGTTACATGCAATCCAACCGGATTTGAAGAACGAGAGTTGCCAGACTTTTGGTAGTGAGGATTCAGGTTGTTTAGTTGCTGTTGTGAAGCTCCGATTGGGTGAAAAAATCTCTGAAAAGATCGGCAGTATATGTTAGAGGTCACTGCTAAATTGTAGAAAGTATATTATTGTTGTTTAAGAATTCTTTTCATAAAAGGCAAATTTATATAAAAGCATATGAAGAAGAGAGTGATTCAGGTTGATTGTGAGTTGTAAAATTTCATGGATGAATTGAATCCTTTGATTTAAAGCCAAAGAAAATTTTCTCCAACATTGAGAGCAACCAAATTGAAATAGTGTTTAAGACTATGAGAAAATTTTACTTCAAAATAAATAACGGCAACAACGCTTGAGTTTCAATGACTTCTGAAACAACGTTTCTACTTGACTTCTAATATTGTCTCGAATCCTAATCTATTACATTCAACTCTGGAGCTCTCACCCTACACTGCCGAAATAGCGAAGAGTTCAGTAAGTGCATGCTGGGATGAACCTCGAGACACATAAAAGCATGTGCTAACCATGGCTCATAGAGAAATGCGCTGATTGCTTTCTTAGCTATCACGGCAGTACCATGAGTAGAGATAAACTGTAGGTAATAACTACCAAATTTTGGATATTCATTGGCAATTACAGACTAGAGGATACAGAATGAGAAAAGTAATAAAGCTACTTGATTTACTTACATCTGCCTCGTTGACATCAGAGCCGTTGTTCACTGGGCTGGGACGACGTGGCAAATTTATAATTGGTGGTGGAGGAATTGATGTATTTATACTGATTACAGGATATGAAGGGGTCTGCTGGAACACAACCAAAACATTATAAACAGAAACCAAAAATTGAGACATTATCAAGACTTTTAATCTTAATGGCAAGAGAGTACTTCAACAGGGTGTTTCTTGAATATTCTATAATCCTTTCCACCTGCAATCTCATCAGTATCAAAGAACAGCGGAAAAATTAACCTGAGGTCTATTAAAAGTGATTTAACTTCAAAGTTTCCATTAAAGCATTTCAAAAGGAGAATGGAAAATTTTAAGCATCAAAAATGAAAAACAAATTCTGCTTACTTTTCAAGGTAATGAGTGATTTTTATTTTTTTAAAATTATATTCAGCCTTAAGCACCAGAAAAAAATATTAGCTGCTCAAAAGTTTGGAATGCGGTCCGCATTATAAAAGAGGAGATCTAGTTTCAATAATGGTTTTGCATTCATTTTAGTTATTTAAAGATGATTTCTGAAAAGTTTAAAAAGGTAACACTTCTGTTACTCAAAAATTCACACTTTTCTCCTGCTCACATTTAAATCTCTTTCATGATCTTCTTCGACTGCAGTTTCTTGACTACTTACATGGAACTACAAAAAGTAAGGATTGTAGAAAAAGGAATAATGAGAATAAGAATTAATAATAAAAGAACAGAAGATAAACTTCTTACATGATCAATAGCTTGATGATTTTTCATGGGCAGGATATTTTGGACTGACTTGGAAGGCGAGACAGAGTTGTTAGGGGGACGTTTTAATATCGTTATACTTTGTTGGTGGTTATTTGGATGAGTTTCATTATTCATTGGAAAAAGCGTATTATTCATAAATTGATTCCTGCTGTCTTGCTGCCACGCTAAATTATTATCACCTGTAAGCAATTCAAACAAATTTATAAAATGGAATGAAAATAACTTAACGTAAGAATGAAATGACGGAGGGAAGAAAAGGCACAATAACAAAAAAAAAAAAAAAAAAAAAAAAAAAAAAAAAAACCTTCTACCTCCTTTTTAAACGGCCAGTGTTTAAATAAACAGCATCAAATATTTGGATTGAAACATGAAACACTTAGTACACCATAAATTGAGTAATTGTACTATAAAAGTTGGGTGGGCACAATAAGCATTTACCCAGTCGATTTTTGGATAAATCTTTAACTTTACTAGGGGAAGCCCAGAGAACGGGTAGCGACCACTTCCTGTGATTTTAAAATATGGCAGAGCAGAAAAAGTAATCAAACTTAGGTTTACCTTCTGAACTACTGTAATTTGCATAGGTTCTAATTTCTGTTTCCACTGTATTCTCTCGGGCTGCAAGAATTGGACGACCTCTTGGCATATGAGACATTTTGTTCTGAAAGAAGTTAAACGGAAGGTGATGTGATAATTAAATTAGAAGTATGAAACGGCTACTGAGAGATGTTCCCTTCTGGATGCTAGTTGGGACTATTAGAAAAGCAGAAAATATTTCAACATGATTCGAGAGTCTATGACCATTATGTACACTGCTTTGAAAGAAGGATGTTGAAAAGTATGTAATATGTGATTTCCAGCAAATTTTGAAACAAATAACACAGGTAACTTACTACTTTCATTAATAAAAGTTAAAGTCCTCTACAGTTTCGACAAAATTTCGTAAAAAGTTGCTTTTGTTTACTCTTTTTGGTCTTTTCTTTCTTCGCATTTTACTGGCGTGCACTTTAAATCAAGGGAAATATTAATAAGAGGAAGAAACTAAATCAAATGTGTCTAAACATAAGTATTTTAGATTGAACCTTGCTGAAAGATTTCTGCAAAAATAAGGAGGAAATGCACAACATTCTGTAAATTTTACTTCTTTAATCAACAATGCTTTTCTTAATTCCTTTTATTTTTATGTTACACAAATGTCACATGTTCATGTAAATGTTTTGTGTTTACATAAATGGCTAAGAAACAGTACATACTGCCTATGTGTAAACTGCCAATGTTACAGAACAATGAAAAAACTGGACTATTTTTGTAATTTTAAGGTTAGGTTCACAAATTTTTTTTTTAAAAATTTCAGTGCCTTTACAGCACTCCGATGCCGACCTGGAAGAAACTTGCTTGCGAAACAGCAACTTGCTTATTTCGCGTTGTAGAATGCAGCAAAATAGCTCCCTACTATCGCCAAAATTGTCAATTAGGCAGTATTGTTCCTCAGCCATAGATATTTATGAAATTTCAAGGATTGATCCATCACAGAAAGTTTAAATTTTACAAAAAAGAAAGATTTAATAAAATAGTCACTTACATCTGAGATATTGGAAGACCAAATATTATCATGATCATTGTGAATCACATTTTCTTGATTGCTTATATTTATAGCTGGTGTGTGAGAATACGCTGACAATTCATTATTATAACTTCTAGCAGGAAAATTTGAATTATAACTGTAAGTAAAAACAAAAAAAGATTAATATCAAATAAGCTATAAAAATATGCGCCTTAGTTTATACTACCATTTAGAAGTGCCTAAAAAGGCTCACAGATTTCAATATTCGTACTTCAAGACTTTCTATACACCTGAATTCATTATAACTTGATTTGAGTTCAGAAAAATTGAACACTAAAATTTGAAACTCCTACTCAATTCTTCATTTTTAATTCTTTTTTGGCTGGCAATAGGTGCATCGCAGAAAAATACATCTGTTACCCTAATTTTGGATCAACTAGTTGAAAGTTTTCGCAAAGATTGAGAAAAAAATCGATTTTCTTGACAAAGCTTCAGAGATCTTGTCACCCTTAAAATAGCTCAAGGAGAAAACATTTTTAGGGGAAAAATGTCCTATTCTAAGAACTGATTTCTAAAGTATGTACGTTGTGATACTTTGAATGCTAATAACTTACAAAGTAAAGCAATTAATTCCAGAAAATTATTTTTAAAATTTGTATCTCGTTAAGAAAATGATTTAGGTAATAAAATGAAACTCACCCTAAAATTGAATCTCTATGAGGACCAGAATAGTTGTCGTACCTATCAAACTTGAAATTTTTTTGTTCGGAATGATAATTATGACTATTATCTGAAAATAAAACAAAATATCATTTCTTAATAAACATAATAAAAAAGGCTGAAGGAAGAATTTTTTTTTTAAAAAATTAGAATTGCTCATCCAACTGAGCCATGAGACAAAATTAATAAAGATGACAGTTAATGGTTTAGATACCACAAAACTAAACTAAACTGGAACTAGTTCATGAAGTTAGTCTTGATCAGATGGAAATATGGTGAAAATTGTGAAGACTCACTTTCTTGGTGCATTTCTCTAAAGTATCTGAACAAAAATATTTGGCGAGGGAAAAGAGAGACTACAATTCTTTGATAACTTACAGCTAACTTTCATAGGAGTGCCTTCTTTAACTAACTCAGGGTAACTAATGATGATCCTATTTCCGAATACTCGTTCTTGACTCATTCTTTTCTGAGCCCTGAAACACACATGGATAAAAAAAATCAACGATTGAATAACATAATACACGAAAATAATACACGTTAATTAGCCATAATAGAAACGCAAACATTTAAGCAGGATTCTGCAAAAGCCTAGCCACGGTTGCCACAGACTTCGAATAATGAAATTCTCTGGCATTTTCCCGATTTTTCTGTCACATTTTGGTAAAATTCCCCGACATTATCTACCTAAATGTATACAGTTAAATTTGCAAACACCGCGAAAAATTAGCAATCACCGGCGATTTGCATGCGGCTCACCCGTTGTAACGACAGATCACGATGATGCGTATCGACGTAATTAGCACGATCTCGATTTAGAGCACCTTCATTTTTCCGCGATACTCTACACGTTGTCATGCAGTTAATTTAGTTGCCTAACTGGCACAAACCCAACTAATTACGCTCTCTCTCTCAGGGAGTCCCGGTTAATTCCATGCTTTCACGGAGGAAAATACGATGATTACAATTTGAGGCAAACCAATCAACCCCGTTTGGTTCCACTACTACTGGGGTGTGTCTAATTTTTGAGAGGCTTTCTGACACGCAGCAAGGATTTTCGGCCGATGGATTATCTGGATTTTGGGCCGGATTTTTGTTAATACACGCGTGCTTTGCGATAGATCGATTAATCTGCCACTTAGACCTAGGAAAAAAGATCGATAAACAGGGTGTGCGCAACGAACACCTTAATAATCGATTCTTTACCACAGCTTCTAAAGGGGAAATATCGATAATCGATCATTCACGCCTCGCCACTGCACAGATTCCCGGATTTTCCCGTTTTCCAGACCGCCGGTAACCCTGATGTAAGAATGCCACAAAAATTTTTTTTTTCAATTTTCAGCCCGCTGTTCTGCAACTTGGAGTAATAGAAAGTTCGATTCCTGAAGCTCCATCGTGTTTAGGCGCTCGTAAAGTGCTTAATGTCAAGAAATAACGGAATTGAGCCGGCGCACAGTGGATCGACTCAATTAGAGATATCATGAAAATTTTGACTAAAACTGCAAATTTCGATGTTTATTTCGTCACATTTGAAATTGCAAGGGGTGCTTACAAAAGAGAATTTCTCGGGGAAAGCAATGGAGCCACTTCTAGAACCTCGAAGTTCTGTATGGACAGAGTTATAAGCGTTTAAAGTCTCCAAATTTTGTCCGACTTCTCCTATTGACTCGATCCACTGTGCGGTGCCGAAGCCCTCGATTTTACGTGCAACTTCCTTTCACGAGAATCATGACAATGCCATTGATTTTCTCGAAAATAAACTCTTAAGCTCAAAAAGCTTTGAAAGCTGAGATCGTGATGGAAGGAGATCCCGCTCCTATAAAAAATTCACGAGTCTCCCCTCCGACTCCCCCGAAAATTTGCCGACTTTCCCCTGAAACTTTTCAAGGTTCCCGATCCTTACATTCCCTTATTTCATAATGGGACAGTTGCGCTGGTCACAGAGTCGCGTTTTGATGCTTGATTCTTGTAGATAAGCTAAACACAATAAGGTCAGTCCAAACCGCAACTATCTACGTTTAATATTAATCGAGATATCGTCCTTTGAAAAGTCGGGTTTTTGAAGTCATCAACCGCGGTAGTGACACTCTAGGTTTCTTCCACCTTGCTTCCATCCGAGTTTTACGTTGAGTAATCAGTATAAATGTCCGTCACCCTGACTGATGAAAGCAAGGTGGAGGAAACCAAGAGGGGTGTCACTACTGTTGTCACTGTCGCGGTGAATGACGTCATAAACCCGACTTTCCGAAGGGCGATATCTTGGTTAATATTGACGTAAAAAGTTGCGGTTTGGACTGATCTTATTGTTTTTTGTTTAACCAGAGCAACTGACCTATTCTCACACGATTGCTCAGTATGGACGCTTTATTTCATTGGAGAGTTTCTCCTTTCGCTGGTTGACAGCATAAAAGTTGAATACATGATTGGGTTGTTACGACTGGAAAAATAATTTTGAAGGTTCGAAAACGGAGAGCCTCGAGTGAAATTGGCCGACTTTTTCAGGTTTTCTCTGACTATTCGAAACTTGGCTACCCTCTGTAATTTGAGGTTTGCCTCAGCCAGGGTAACCACAGAATGAAGAAATTGAAAGTCCCTGATTTCCCGTCACATTTCGGTAAAATTCCCCGAGAATTTAAGATACGATAGATGGTTAAAAAGACATAATTTCACTCAAAATCTATTGTTTGAAACGTCAAACTCAGTCTAGAAAGCAAATAAAGGTGACTTGACAATTTTTATGTTACATTTTCAACGTTTTCTTCATTTTCCCTGACAATTCCAGGTTTTCCCTGACTTTTAAAAATTCACTGACATTTTCCGGGTTTCCCGGTATTCCCTGACTGTGGTAACCCTGCTCAGACCATGAGCACAAAAATGATTGCGGGGACCTTGGCTTTAAAGGCACGACGATAAGGATACAGCCACGTGGTCATAGCTTCACGGATTTTTTGCTCGCGCCTATCAGGAGGCGTTACAGTTACAGGAGCGAACGAGGGCGATAATTTCACGGATCATAATGAGTCAAATGCCGACGTTCACGTCGAATAACGAACCAATAAAGACAATTTCCCAAAATAGACGTAGGGAATCAAAAAATGTGAAACTTTAATGGAAAAAATAGTGTATTTCCTTCGGAAAATACACTAAAACTTCCAGGATAACTTAATACTGCCGTGCTAAGGAAGAACGCCGTATGCACATTCGAGAGTTGCCAAATTTCTTGGGATGAAATTTCTGTTGTTGAGGAAAATTATCAATACTTTTCCTGAAAATTTTCTGACACTTTAGATCAAATTACGAACAAAATTATATGAGAAATCGGTAGAAAAATATTCAAAACTTTTCCTGAAAATTAATAATTTGCCGGAGGAAATTTGGCAACGTCCGAAGGCTCATACGGCGTTTTTCCTTGGCACGGCAGAAAAGATGATCTGACCAAGTTAATGCAGTTGAAAATCTTCGGAAATTAGCAGTTTCTCTAGAAATGTCTGAAGTACATCGAGGAATGGATACACCACATTCCAGTGCACAGTTTTATCGGTTTCTTCTACTTTTTCACCCTGCGACTGAGCAGCACACTTCGAGATACTGAAATAATTTACTCAGTTGTGCATGTCATTTTGCAGTATTGAAACATCAGACTATGAATTGTGATAAAGTTAGGAAAATAAGGGCTTGAGGTGACAGGGTTTTGGACCGAACCATAGCATGCCGCGTACAGAGAATGACATTGCTTGCCACTTAGAACAACTAAAAATTTGCGGAAAAAATTCAAAAATGCTGGCGAACTTACAGTTATCTCAGATGCTAACTGTACAAAACCAATTTTCAGAGGCAATGAATTACGATCAGGTCAAAAATTGCTTCACCACCTCAAGTTTTCCATTTTCCTAACTCCGCCACGAGTCATAATAAGGTAAAAATTATTAGCATTTCTGGACGCTCTTCTCTTTATGGCATACTGAAAGCATTGATGGAAGTAAACTTGATTCGACTTTAAACGTAGAGGCTTTCCACAACGTGTCATGTTGTAACCCTACGTAAATGTCACCTTCGTCAAACACGTGTGGGTGGTCATGGAAAGACGAGAAAGTTCGAAAAGTTTGAGTAAAGAGTAAACGTGATTGACTGTAAAAGATGGCTACGTGTGCTGCGGGACGTAAGAAAAAAAAACCGGAGAAATCAAGGGGACAAAAACAGTAAAAATGAGTGAAAGTCTTTTAGCGTGCGGACTCGACTAACAGAGAGAAAAAAAAAGAGTCTCAGAAATTTTGGAGGAACTTTACAGTCGGCAAAGTGACTGAAAGAAATCGTGAAAAAATGAGTGAAAAGGCATGAAAATGAGATTGTCAGATGATAAGTACCTTTCGAGGTCGCAGAGACGCAAAGCAGAGTACGGATACATGTTTTTGGGGCGACGAATCATAAAAACAGGAGGTAAAACAGTCGATGATCTCACGAAATTAAAATACTTAAAACTAACGATTACTAAAACTATAATATTCAACGATAACGGTAATAAATCTCAAATTATTGTAACAATGACGTTTAAAAAATGTACGATTCCTATGGATGTGTGCCGGCTGACTGATGAGATACGACTCGCGGTACCTCGAAGGTGATGGTTCCTCCGCCCGTGAATATACGCGCAAGATACACAAACTTTGCGGCATTGCCAAATGCACGACAAAATTCAATTTTTATGCAGAGGTATCGTGTGACCTGAGTGGAGGGTTGAGGGAATGTAAAAAATGAACATTAATGGGAAAATAACTCTTAAAAATTGCGAAAAAATACAGAACACGAGGGCAAAATGGAGGTAAAGGTGGCTGGAAAAGTCCACGAGATAATTTTTTTAAAGCAATTAAAAGCTTCGATTTTGTTTCACTTAAAACGAACTTGACAGATTACCATTTTTAGTGGTAGCAAAACAAATGAAAAATTTGCAATACTGTCCAATGCGCCGAGTTAAACCAAGCTTGGTATATATTACACAAAAAGAAAAGAAAAAAAAAGAACAAAAAAGTTGACAACGACGCATTTTTCGGGTGACCACTCTTTTGTCCAAAGGAATTCGAGCCTTGCGCTATGAGGATAGCACGAACTTATCTCGATTATCAAGGAAACATCGGGTGATAACACAATGATGCCACATTCTTCTACAAACGACTCTCTTTTCCGTTAGGGCTTGGTCAGTGAGAAATTAGAGCGAGCTGGCAAGAGCGGTGCTCATGCTGATTTTTCGAGCAATTCTAACAAGGATTTCTGCGGGGAAAAACAAAATTCCAACGGTGAGAACTGCTGTTGTAACAGACGGGTTTACTGGAGCTGTTCCTCGCGGTCATGCACTTTATCAGCACGGTATCATAGGAGGAAATACGCTCTCGTGATAGGCTCCCATTTATGTTCGCGAAGTGCTCAAAGGCGCTGGCATTTCTAGTCAAACACAACGAGGTTCGAGCCAAGTGAGGAAATGAGGAAGGGAATTCGTCCTTGACACGTGCTCAAGACCGTTAAAAAAATTACAAAACTGACTGTAAAATGATCACGTCGGAAAATTTTAGAGGACGAACGTGTAAAGATGAATGACCCTACTGGAAAAAGAAACACGTCAAAAGCTGAGCAATTTTGGCAATTTGGCTGGGCAAAACAATAATTGGGGTGAAGGTAGACTATTGACGGAGGTAGACAGGGAAGGAATCTAGTAAAGAAGAAGAAAGGCAAGAGAAGAACTGAATGGGATTAGCCAATAGGCTACTTGAAGAAGAAGAAAAAAAGAAAAAAAAGCAATTTAATGCATATTACGCCCTTTTCCTACGAGGCACCCCCCCCCTCCCAATTCACAGCTCGTAAATGCGCTGGGTGCAAAAAGGGCGCAGTGGCGTGGCATGATTTGCGATTTATCGATTGATTAGCCATTTAAACCTACGGAGAAATATCGATATACAGGGTGCCCGCAACGAACACCTTAATAATCGATTCTTCACCATACTTTCAAATAGGAAAACTTCGATGATCGATCATCCACGCCTCGCCACTGAAAGGGCAGTCTCAGGATCGCCTTAACCGGTTCATTTTTCACGACTTTTTCGGTCGTTTCATTTTTTCACGGCAATTTTGAGTAACGCTCTTGCGTGTGCCCGTAAAGAATGGTGTCTAGTTTTCTTGGCAAAGCTCATTCCCTGATTTTCCCCCGATTTTCAGGAGCTCATTCCCTGATGAGAAACCGAAGTTTTCTCCCACTATCCCGGGATTTTCTTGGGGAAAAGAATATAATTCTCCAGAGTTTTAGATATGCATATCGACTTAATTCATCTTACAGCCATTTCTTTGGCACACGTCAGATTAGACCGCCAAATTTGAAAACGAAATGATCCTTGGGTGGTTCGAGAAGAGATTCCCGGTTTCTGGAGCCGATTCCCTGATTTTCCCGGTAAATTTTCATTCCCTGATGAATCCCGGTTTTCCCCGGTTTTTAAAAAACTAGACACCATGCCGTAAAACCGTGGTGAATGAGCAAAAGACCGAGATCGGACGTGAGAAACCGCGACGTAACATGAAAATCGCGGAAAAACCTCCTAACACGCGGGGATCAATGCATATCTGCGATTATACGCGAGTGTCCACGAAAACCTGCGAATAACTCCGGTCATACGTAAGCAGCCGTAAGAGTCTACAAAATCGGGCAACTTTCTGAATTTCTCTTTGATCCTGCAGAGCCAGGGATGCAAAAAGTTTCAAATCACCAACAGTTCCTCGTCATCGAACTTTTTGCCTTGTGGCGAAACTTTCCGTTTGCCTCGCGGAAATCAGGTCATCACTTGTGGGAATTACTTCACGGCCGCCTGCGGTTGCCGCGATCCTTAGAGTGCGCGGGCCGATTATTGTAACTGATAGACAAAACTATAGACAAAGGAGACAAACTGAAAATACAGCCATCCTATTGGGGGAAGAGGGTGATTGCAGTGGACAAAGGAGGTAGATAATAGAGTAACTAACGGCAGCCCACGAGAGACCCTATAGTTAGTTCAGCATTTCTGCCTTTAGTCCACAGGAACCACCCATTTCAGCCAATAGGATCGTTCCAAACCACCCAAGTCTTCTGTGTCTATCGCTATGTCTAAACAAACCTAGAAGTCCCGAGAAAGCCTGCAAAACGACGATGATCCGCAGTTGTTAAAAGATAATAAGAAGATTCGATTTTTTGATTGGGTGGATGCAAGTGGCGCGGCATAGCCTGGAAAAAAGGGCGGTTCAGGGGTTCTAGACCCCCCCTCCCCCGTGACTGATACATTTTCGGGAAAAACGTTAAATTTTGTGATTATTAGGCATTATGTATCTTAGGTCTTTCCCG